CGGAGGGGGCCAATGCGCTTCGGAACAGATGGCCCCCTGGTCTCCTCTACGCCTTCCCCCCTCTTCCAATCATTCCAGCGGTCATTCGGAAGATGTTGGAGGAGAAGGCAGAGCTAATTCTCCTGGCACCTATTGGCCCAGGAGACCTGGTTTGTGGATCTGGTGAACCTATCGGTTGCCCACCATTGGAGAATCCCAGACCAAAGGGTCTCGCTTCTCCAGGGATCCCTGGTGCATCCGGAGCCACAGTGGTTCCATCTAATCGTGTGGCATTTGAGTGGCAACTCCTGAGAGATTCGAACATTCCGGATTGAGTCATCCTCACTATTCAGGCCTCACATAAACTTCCCACGACATGCATTTATGATGCCACATGGAAGGTTTTCTGCCAGTGGTGCCAAAAGGAGGACTGGGTTCCCACCACAGCGTCTGTAGCTGATGTTCTAATGTTGTTTCAGGACAGGTTGGATAGGGGGTTTTCACCCAATACTCTCCGCCGCCAGGTGGCGATGCTATCGACCGTTATCCACTGGGATCATTTTTCATCCCTGTCACATCACCCTTCTGTGCGGAGGTTCCTGATAGGAGCTGCTAATATCTGCCCACCGGCGATCCACTAATATCCCCCATGGGAGTTACCCAAGGTGCTGCAGGCATTAACAGGATCACCTTTTGAACCCCTCAGATCAGTTTCACTTCAGTTCCTAACTTATAAGGTAGTTTTTCTGGTCGCCATTATTTGGCTAGGAGGAGGGTGTCTGAGCTTGCAACTCTATCAATCAGGGAGGATCTCTGTTCCTTCCATGACAACGGGATGTTCCTGCGTTTGGACCCCACCTTTGTCCCTAAAGTTAATACCTGGTTTCATAGGGCCCAAGAAATCATGCTACCAGATTTCTGCCCTAATCCTACCCATGATCTAGAACACAAATGGCATAAGCTAGATGTTAAAACGGCTTTATGTATTTACATCAAATGTACGTCCACATTCCAGAAAACCGAAGCCTTATTTGTTTCTCCCATAATTCAATGGATTGCAAGGCCTGCCCTCCCACCTTAAGCAGGTGAATTAGATCCTGTATTGCCAAAGCCTACATCACTCTTTCCATTCCAGTGCCGGCTAGACTCACAGTGCATTCCACCAGGAGTGCTGCTACTTGGGCTTGGGCTACTCAAGCTTTGCTAGAGGAAATATGTAGAGCGGCTTCCTGAGCATCTCCATCTCCCTTCATTAGACATTAGTGAATTGATTCCTTCGCTTCGGCAAATGCGGCCTTCGGAAGAAAGGTGCTTCAAAGAGTTGTCCCTCAGATGAAATAAACCCCCGGACATGGGCCCTCCTGTGGACATGTTGGCTTTGGTATGTCCCATCCTGGACTCTCGAAGCAGCGTATAGGAGAATGGGCATTGGTTTAATTACCTGAGAACGCCTTTTCTATCTACGCTGCAAGAGAGTCCAGCCCCATCCTTATTATATCCAGTACTGTTGGGCGCAGGGTTTTTTTCTAACAATATTGTTCCTTGCTTCCTTAGACACTCAGAGTCTGAGTCTGTATCTTCGCCAAAGCTGGGGGACCTGGTTAGAGGCTGGTCTTTTATATGGCAGACTCAGCTCTATGATGTAATAGGGAGGAGTCTAACCCATCCTGGACTCTCTTGCACCATAGATAGAAAGGGCGTTTCAGGTAATTATACCAATGCCCATTCCAGCCAGAACCAATAATAAATAAATAAATTGAACTACACAAATCAGGACCTTCTTAACCTCTGGGGTCCAAAGTTTGGGGGAATAGCTTGGCTTTTAATACTTTAAGAAAGGCTAATAAGGTCAAACTATCTGGAACTCCCATGAGAATGCTGTTTCATAAGGCAGGCAGTATGATAGGATTATCTTTATCCATAAAGTTCTTTCCTTCCAAAATCAGTATTAATCTTCCAACTGAATCAGAACATTATAGTGCCACATTTTGCCATTCATTCAAGTCACTGAGTTTTTTATGTCTACAATGTTCTCATATTTTACTTGGAGTGCAAGATATTCTTTTGCTGGAAGCAAATTTTATTTCTGGTTTTTTTACGCCATTTAAAGGCCACAGTTTATCCCTTAGCATTCTCCAAATATAAGTGGCAATCATGTTTTGTTATGAGTTAGCAAAACTGCCATGCTTCCTTTTTTCTTGTGCTCACTTTTCAAAACTGATGGTAGCATTAGTATCTTTCCCTTATGGCGATTGTATAGTGAACTTATGCTGGGTAGCCACATGGGTCCAGTTTTCCCCCATTCATATCTTTTTGTAGACTGGATCTCTATTTCAATGGAGTCGCAAGTTTGGAAGGGCTATCCCTATTATGGCAAGACTCTCTTCCAGGTAAGAAGTTGTTACTAATCCATGTACGTGAATCTCACAGACCACAGTGAAAAACTGGTTGCTTAGGTATCGCTTCAGTTCTTTGATTGGTTGTCTGTGAATTTACACCACCACCCTACTACACCACTAGGTGTCAGATGACTATTGTTCCTTTGGTTCTGCTACATTAGCAACTCAAGGTTAGAATCTTTAGCTTAAGGTATTTGCAGTTTGAGACTTTGTACAGGGACATAAGCCTTGAATGTGAAGTTGTAAAAATTATTTAAAGAATGATTGTAATTAGAGGAATATAAGTAACGCAAAGCCACCTGAAGTACTGTCTTATAGAAAAATAAATCTGTATTTAATAATATAGTATGTGAAAAGATAACGTGAGAAAGCATTAGGAAAGGAATAGAAAACACAATGGGGTCCTCGCTGTATTTGTATAAATCTCTACTATATGGAAAGATTGCACTAAGCAAACAATTTACATTTTGAGTAAATGTATATACCAGTATATATTTAGTTTAAAATGCAGGTGGTTTTCATTTAACTGGGCCTGGCAACTTGGTTATTAAGTGAAGTGATCACTAAGTGAAATTGCCACTATTCATGATCTTATTTCAGCTTTCCTTTGCTTTGTACTTCAAGGTTATAAATATGAGGACTATCTGTATTTGTATAACTGCCCATCTTAGAGCACATCTCTGGGTGGTTCATAACTGTGATAAATTACAAAAACTAACCATAGTCATACAAACTGAAAGTAAGAACCTGGAGTCTCAGACATTTGTTAGAATGCCCTGATAACCACCCATAGGCTCCCCTGTACTGTATCCCATGTCAGAAAGAACAAAAGGAGTTTGAAATTCCTTCAGCGGAAGAGCTACACTTAGTGGAATTCAGAGCCTTGTATTTTGGGTTAGAAATCTAGATCAGTGTAATCATACTTCTCTCTTGAAACAAAAGTAATTAGCATATTTTAACAACACAATATTCAGCTTTATTAAAATGTAGGATTCCAAGTATCATAGAACATTCTTACATAAAATAGTTTCTTTAATGAGTATGATTAGTTAAGGCTGGATGAAAATTAATTTTATTAAGATTCAATATAGGTGAGATACATGAAAATGGAAGTTTAAAATAAATGCAAATTTAATTTAATTATCTTATTTAGTACTTTTTATCTAGTCTTCCAAAAATCTTTCCTTTTCAAATCTAATCTAAGCATTTTAAAACTTTGGATCATCTCATAAGACCTTCCTTATTGCTCTTCCATATGTCAGTTTCTCAATTTTCTGTTGCTTAACACTATTTTTCTTTTTCCATTTACTTTTTGGGTCACATAGCTTCTTTTTCTTATAATATTATCTACACTAGACTTGCAGAACTTCTAGAGAGGAAAAAGCCACATAGATAAATTAAAAATAATCAGAGGCCACAAAGGAATACCTGGTATGCCAGTCAGTTGTTTGGCAGCTGTAAGCACAGTGATAGGGAGAATGCTGGAAATGTTGATGAACCATTGAAGTGTTGAGGTGCTCAGTAATATGTCTTGGTGGGTCCTTGCCATGGGAATGTTGGCAGCAGGGGATTTAATGAATTTCAGAAAATTCCAGCAGACCGCACAAAGCTATTTGGCTGGCAAATCCCACGTTGTGCAGACTTGCTCCAAAGTCTTGTCCTAGATGCTGTAGTGTGATTCCTGAGTTCCACATACCTGGCACACCAAAGAGCAAGAATCATGTGCTTTTCAAAAAGGCCTCTTTAATGCTAGTCTAAGAAAAAAGAGTAAATTCACAGTCAGACTACTAATAGATTAATTAAGGTGGAGTCTCTTTCAGATGTTTCCTTTGCCTGACCCTTATATCTTGGCTGTGTTACCTTTTTTCATCTAAACTGTACTTATCTTCCTTCACTTCCTTTTGAGTCACACACAGCATTCCCTTTTACTGGCCAATGGTAATAAAGTCTGATCTTTCCTTTTTCTCTTTGAAATATGCCTGGCCAAATGGAAAAAAATGAAAATGAAATGAATATTAGGTGAGAGCAACTGCAAAGGAAAATGTCTGTGTCTTAAGTGCAATAATCATTATCTACAATTTACCCTGTGGAGGGTTCTTCCCCATTGCGGATATAATGAATTATTCCTCTCATTGTTTCCAGTGGGCATTGGTATGGTTGGTTGAAAAGATTGAAATTGTAGATTTGAGGGATATAGGTTTGGGGAAGATAGTTATAAAATATGGAAGATGTATTTTATTTAGTTTTTAAAATTATCTTTCAAAATATTGAAAATGAAGCAATATAAATATCTAAGAGATCTCAAAATGCTTTACACCGGTATCTTCACTGGTTTTTCTTATATGGTAATATCTAATCTATCTCATGTTGGAGTTGTGTACACACATAACTAAAAAACTTCAGACTTTTCTCATCTCCAATGGATCAGTGTAAATTCATATGGAACAAGTAACAATAATGGGAAAATATGGATCTCTGATTAAGATGAAGGTTTTTAATGCATGAAAAATTTTCTTACTAAAGTCTTTTCCTAACTGGAAAAACTAAATTACAATTTAAAGATATTTCATACATTATGTTTTCCTTTTTTTGCTGTTAATAATTGTGTTTATTTTCCTTTAGAAATGTGAGTTGTGCCCCCACAAAGATGGTGCTTTAAAGAGGACTGATGGTGGGGGTAAGTATTTCAAAACTTTTCTTTAAAATGCTTTGCTTATGAAATTACATTTTAAATAACTGCTTACCTGTTTTTCTTTAGTTCTGTTTCTGGACATATATAAACATGTCTAGAAGTGGAACTTCTTGAACGGAATATGCGATACCTGCCTTGATTGTTCTATTGTTCTGTCTGAATGTTATTTTAGCTCCTTTACATTTATGCTTTTAACCACTTATAACTTGGTCAGAGTCATTTTTGTTAGTTGAACAGCCATATAAATCAAATTAAAAAAGAAATAATACAATTAACTGGTAAAAGCTTTTAGGTTATAATCTATAGATTTTTTTGAGACAGTAAAAATCTCTTAAATTTTTTATACTGTTTATTGTATTTGGTAATGTAAATATTCATCAGTATAACTGATGAATGTTTAATTTTACATATGAGCATGAATTAGAGAAAATCATTTACTTCCTTAATTCGTATTTTCTTATACATGGTAAATAAGAGAATAGTATTATGTTAGAGGACTGAATATAAATTGTACTTTGAATTGATGCAGAAATTCTTTAGTGAACTTTATATTTCCATCTGAAGCTTTAATTTACTGTTCTCAAGTTGCATATGTAAAATGAGGTGCAAATATTCAATGATACAGTAATGTAAAACTACTTTAAAATTATTATTTTCCATTTCTGCTTTGGCAAATTGTGGAAAGAGATGAAAACCTTTCTTTTCCTACAACTGATCCTTACAAATGAAAATAAATTGAGGTTTGCTTTTTAAATATAAACTTCATAACAAAGCATTAAACTCTGCATTCTACTCTAACTTTCTATTTAAAAATCCACAGCATACTTAGTAATTACAACTACTTCCTTATAAAAATAGCAATGCTAGTTTAAAGCCAAACATAATAGGAAACTGATAGTTGCAGTGCCATTGCTGAGAAGTCCATGTTTGGCTTATCATATAGCCAAACACTGTATCTAGCACAGAGCAAATACTTGAAGTAGCGAAGAATGAAGAATTTCTAAGTAGTTCACTTTGCAAAAATCGGACTTCTTGCATTTCCTAATTTCAATTAATCTGATATTTATAATCCTAGTAGAATTATTAAAAATAATTTTATTAGCTTGTAAGTGCAGAATTACAGTTTTCTTACTTCACATTTCTTTTGTCATGGCTTCCTGAAATATAATGCATTTAATATACCTGTTCCAGAATTTCTTTTGATAAAATATACAAAAGTCAGTTAAGATTAAAGTAATAAATTTTATGTATGATTTACATATATATGCATGCAAGTGTGTGTCTGAGAGGTATACATACATACGCGCACAACTCTCCCCCCATTGGCTCCTATATGCATATGATATTTTTACAGTGTTATCTCCTAGGTTTGTAATTATATTGCTTTGCTTGCTTAGTGGTTATAATACAGAACTTATAAATTTTTAATTATATTATTTAAGACTTCAAAATGTGCTTTATTAGAAGTCAACCCTTTTCATAATTATTTTTTGTTTGTTTAGTGATTTTATTAGCATATGATATTTTTTCATGAATTCGAATATGGATTAAAGGTTGGATGTTTACACAAATTCTATCTTTAAGTAAAAGTTGGATGGTGTTTTTTAATGCTGCTTTTAATAATTTTCACTTAAACTTTGCTGTTTGTATGTGCAATGTTGCCACTCCATGAATGAATCCTTTAGTTAATGCTTGAGCGGATGCTGTAATGAATGCTGTAATTGTAACCAATTATAATGGAAGAACACAAGCACCAAGTTTTCTGATAATGAATAAGACTTTCCCTCTGGATTCTATGGATGCAGTAGATTTTTTTTTTTTGAATGGTTTCTGCTGTTCTATTGGAACTCTGATTGATTTCTAGAAAGCAGAGTAACACCAGATGATGGTCCTGGAGAAGACTTACAATAATCTGATGTCTTCCACATGCTTTATTCTATAATTGCCTTGATCCTTGCATACATATTCCACAGTCTAGAGGTGATATGAATTGTAAACTGAAATAAAAAGGATAACTCATTTGAGAAGTTTGCTTTAGAAAATGTACTCTTGTGAATATTCTGGTATGTTAGATACTTTGTAAAAATTAGAATGTGATATGGAAAGATAAAATAAAAGTTGGGGCAAGTCAAGCTGAGCATAGTTTTAAATCTATGTTAAGGGTTATTCTTTTGAGATAGTTGAATATATTTATTTTTACAATTCTATCCTACCTCCAAAGAGTTTAGAAAGTAAAATGTTATTTAAAAACAAATTATCTTCCATGATGCTTTTCATAAGAGAGATGGTGATAATTATCCTAGGATGATAGGGGAATCTAGATTTCTGTCAAGAAGCCCTCTCTTAAGGAAATTTTACCATGGGCAACTGATCCTCTTGGGCAAGGAAAGCAGATCCATCCAAAGAATCTTGTATGATAATGAGTAAAGTTGTATGGTGATTATAATCTTTCTTTCTTCTTCTCTTACCTCCCCCCCCTTTTTTAAAAAAAAAACACCATTTATCTGCCCAATGCCATCTAGTGGAGCTTCAGTGAGCTGCAGATAATGTGTTGCAACCTATCTAACTTGATGTTTACTTTGAGATTTTTCTAGATATATACTCATGTGTTTTTCATGACTTATATGGAAAGTATTTTATGTTAATATATGTTTTTAGATATCCTACGGGATACATATTTGCCAGATATGTCTGCACACACATTTTAAATAATATAAGTGATCTATCAAATATTGCATTATTTATTCATGTTAATAGTTTTGTATTATTAGAAGAGATAACATTTAGAAATATTGTCAGAAGTCTCTTCTTAATAATGCATGGGTAAACATGAAAATCATTCCTAGGTTTTCCTAGGTGTCCAAAAGGTGCTTTTTCAAGAGGCAACTGGATTTTCTGTTTTTTCTTTGAAGACATTGCTCTTTTAATCCAAGAAGCTTCTTCAGCTCTCGGGGTTTTTTGACAGGAAAAAACTTTTTTGGGCGGGCCAGGAAAAGAAATCACAACAAAATTGTTACACATTGTTTGTGTGTTTTGAATGACCAAATTTCAGATTAAAATCTTGAAAAATTGTAAACTATTTTAAAGATAAAATACAGAAATCTAGTTAGCAGAATTGCTAAATATGAATGCAAAGGATATATCTTGATTATTTGTTTGTAATTGTCCTTAGACTGTGGTGATTTTTCCCACCTTTTGTGTTCTTAGTTACTATCCTTCCACTTTCAGTAAATTGTTTCACTTCATCTTGTTGTATTCTATAATTATTTTTCATCTGAGGAACTAGCGAAAGCATGTTAATCTTTTTTATATAACATTTCATTCTAATTTAAATTCCAAAATATTTCCGTAGTTGATAGCATATTGCCAGATTTCAACAAAAATAATCACTATGTACATGTCAGTTTGTTAGTCTTGTTCCAACTTGCATATTTCAAATGCCTTATTTGACTATTGGCAATTTAAAGACAAAATTAGTATATATACCATATAACATGCTTTCCTTTTTATAACATGTTTTCCTTTTATTTAATTTACAGATTCTTTGTAAGGGAAACTTATAATTTTCTAATCTCTTCCCCCCACCACCTCTGTGTGTGTATGTGTGTGTGTGTTGTTTTGTGGTAATCTTGTTTTTAATTTGTATGGAAGCCTACAGTATACACACTGAAGTTCTTTAGTTTTGTTAAACGTAAAGGTTTTGTTGGGATTGAAATCTACTCCAACTGGATGATGATCAGGAATGCTGTGGAACAGCATTCTTTGTTAGTTTTATAGCAGGATTTCTGAAAAGCATCTGCTCAGTTGAAATCAACTTAACAATGCGATGGTTTTGTTGTCATTTTTAAAGATTTGACTGGGGAATCTCCTAGCTTATAAAGAATGTCACACCTTTTGACATTCAAAATGCTTTTGAGTCAGCATTTTTCTAACCATGAGTTCCTTTAAATCTACAATATACTTTTATTTATAAAAATCCCAGTGCAAAATTAGGATGCTAAACCGTTATTCTTAGAAAATAAGTATACATACATATACATACAACATATATGTGTGTGTGTTTATTTTTTAATATTTAATAAGTCTCCACATTGAGTTTCAAGAGGCTAGGTTTGCTATGTATTAGGTTTTGATATAAATAAACTAATGTAAACTTATTTTGAAAAAGATTCCCATTTTCAAAAGTAACATTTTAAATGTTGGTAGATCTGTAACTTTGTAACTATTGTTTACATATTCAACATAGGCATTCACCTTGTGTATGAATAAAATTGGATCAAACCTCTCAGGTTTTTTTGAAGATTTATAAATAAAGTATCCCATCGCAGGACTTATGTAGAAAAAAACATTATAGATTTTGATATGTAGGTTTAAGCCTTATTCTTTGAACCATTTGTAAATACACCATTGCACATTTAAACATACCAATAGCACTCTTTCTTAAAGTCTAAAAGATCTACTCTGAAACCATGAAATAGTGGTATACAGTGTGGAATTGATCAGTATTTTTCAAAATCTGTGTCTTTTGAGTACATGAAATAACATTATTACTTTTGGATATTAGAACAATCTGTTTCAAGTGTGGGATTGTTCAAATGTGGGTATTGGTGGTATTGGTCAGCATCAAGCCTTTTGGTAGTGTGAGGCTGGATCCCAGGGAAGTTTTACAGTTTGACTACGTGTCGTGTTCAATGATAGATCAGTAAATGCATTACTGTGTCTGTATGGTTTAGTAGTTACATGACAAAATGATCTGTCCTTAACTCCCTCTATCATAATTGCATCATATAAACTGCATAGGTTCTCCCCAAAAAGTAGTTTTGATAAGAACACTCATGACAAATTCTCCAGAAGAAGTATTTTGACGCTTACCTTTTTATAGCAGCTAGCCAGTTGCTTGTTTTTCTTTGCCAGTGGCAATCCTAATAAGGTTGAGATTAGCTCTGTTCTTGCTACTACCCAGATTGTTGGGGTTGGTCTGCAGC